ATAAGAGCTCAGCTCCTCTAACCAACAGATAAAATATTACAAAATAAAAATCTTAACCATAGCCTCGTAGAGCACCAATAATATTATTCATGAAACTACAATATATAGATTGAAATTTTGCATAAAAATATAGAGATTAACCAAAATGGTGTCACAACTTCAATCAGAGAGCAGAATCCCTTGAATGATTTGATAGAGGCACAAGCTATCTAAGATCAAAATATTTTTCAATGAATAACGTCCTAACCCTAATATTTTTTAAAAAATTAAAGTGAATAAAATGTAACAGTTACATAAATTAAAGAAAAAGTAATTCAATGCAAATGAATTTATAAGCTCAAAATAAAAGTTCTATATAACTTCAACATCAAATAATTTTAAATTTATAATGACAAAATAACTTTAACATTTGATCTTGATAAATGAAAATAATTAAATAAATACATAAATGAAAATAATAACATTTTCTAATTAAAAGTTTTTATAGTGTGAAATCATCAATTAATTAAAAATTCATATTTCTAGGGATTTATCAAAACAATTTACGAACGTGGACATACAGTGTACAAGGGTACATAACCAAACATGACTTATGCTAAGAAGACAAATGTGGACAGACAGTTTACAAGGGTAAATAACCAAATGCAATCTGAGCTAAGAAAACAAATATGGATACATAGTCCACGAGGATAATACTAACCAAACATGGCTCGAAGCCATGAAAATAAACACAAGAGACCTACGAATAACAAACGTGAGAATAAAGCTCACAAAAATTAAACTAGCTAGTCATTGGCCATGGCGCACTAAGGGTTAAAGGATTGCCATTAGTAACCAGTGTCTTGTATAAAATTTCCATCAAATTATTTTCAAATATGTGAGAAAATCATTACTATAAAAATACAGTTCCTATTCTCAAAGTCAAACTCGCATGAATAGCTTTGAGCATTAAAAACTTACCAAAATAAAGTTTCATGAACTAAAGTTCATGCCTGACATTTATTGAGTAACCTGAAAATAACCAAAGTTGATAAAAATAATCTCATCAATTTTAAAAGTATCTTTTATAAGGAAAAATATATACACATGCCATAATTTGAATATCCTTCAATATCTCTTTATAATTTCTCAAGATAAAAATAATCTAATTAACAAAATATTAAATACATAATATAATTGTTATTGAACGATCTATATAAAAAATATTATTAAAATTTTTTTATTGATAAATCAGTTGGGATGCTATTTACTTACCTGTAGTATTTTCAAGATTATCAATTCACTTCTTCCAACTTTAATTAACTCTTTTTCCCCCAAGACACTCTATCCAATATACAAGGATGATTTAATGGCCTTATTGTAGTTAAATAAATTGTCCCCCAATATTGGAAACATAATAATCAGTTAGGTTCCAAATCATCATAATTTAATCAACCAAGTCTTACATTCTTCAATCATTTCAATACTTTACATACCTAACTATTAACAAAACTTCTTTCTCTTCAATTTCCTTTCCAAAAATTCTCCAATATAATTATTGGAATTATTTAACTTCCTAAGTTCTATTCCGAAAACAAAATCAATCTCATTATCAAAGAAATACCAATTCAAGCTCGAAGAAGAATCAACTCATCTTCCTCTTATAATGGTCATGATTTTCAAGTGAAACCACATACTAAAGATGTGCTCTTGAAACATGAATTTTAGCTTAGTTGAATCCTCACCTCCTCATAGTCATGGACAACAATAGAACTAGGAAGAAAGAATTTAGAAATTTCATACCCCTAACACCAACACACATATGTTGTACTAGAAAGAGGATTCAAAATTGCCATACCCAACTAGTCCAATAAAAGCAAGGAGAAATAGAGGCAAACAATGGAGAAGGAGGAAGAAGCTAAAGCAGCTCAAACAGAAGGGGGAAGCTCACAATGAAGAATAGGGGAAAGAGAAGATCGATGCACACACACCCCAGCACTATCGAAGGAGGAAGACTTTGACATTTTCCTCCAGTTACTGGCAGTGGAAAAAGAGAGACAAAGTTGGAGGGAGAGGAAAGCTTGAACCCTTGCAAGATCACATGGATAGAGGAAGAGGAAAATCTCAGCAGTTTCAAGAAGAAAGGAAAGAAAAAATTATAAGTTTGGTGGGATAGGAACGGCACAGCTCCACTCCAACATTGGTGCCAAGGATGAATGGCAAAAAATTTAAAGGCTGGAGCATAATGGTGAAGGTTTTGGATGAGAGCTGTTGTTGGCTCAAATAAGGCCAAAAATGCAAAAATGTAATTGGTAAGAAGGAAGATAAAACAAATATGATGGAGCCAAGGACAAAAGGGTAATTATACCTAAGTCTGAAAAATGAAAAAAAAATATAATCCCATTTAGCATCAAAGGAATCGAAGCTAAAACCTTAGATTTAAAGTAAATAATGCCTACCACTAAGCCATCAGTTCACTTTGAAAGATTAATGCCTGAACATATAAAAATATAATTAACACACCTTGACATAAATTTAAATTATTATTATTATTATTATTATTATTATTATTATTATTATTATTATTATTATTATTATTATTATTTTCTTGGGTTATTACATCCATTTTTCCTTGAGGATTCAAATCCAACACCAGAGAGTATACATCAAAAGAGTTTCCACTAAACCACCACATCTTTCTTGTTATATTTGTCCCAAAATTAATAAAATTATATATAAAATACCTTATTGTAAATCTTAAATTTATACTTAAAATTTTGGGCCATTACATTTGTGGACCAAAAAGAGCATTTTGTAAAGAGGTTCCCTAACAAATCCAAAAAAGATATGAAACTACTTTAGTCCTTTAAGATAGTTGTTCCCCTTGATGATGACCAAGATGTTGAATTTGTCCTTGAAGAATAATATGAAAGGGATGAAGACACCCAATATGTCTTTCACATATCAAGTTCTGATGATGAATAATATCCACAACAATATCAATTGCTTTATGTTATTAGACCCCTACTTAAGCCAATCTAGAACCTTAACCCATCTCCTTTTAGGTTTATGAATCTTAGCCAACAACCCTATTATGTTTGGCATTCTCAAATTCCATAGCCCAATAAAAAAATTCAACTTCTATCTAGTAAATATGATGTTCCTATCTCAATCATTGTTTCCATGGACATTAGTTCTTGCAAAAGTGTCATGAAGCCTTACATTCTTTCCAAAAAAAAAAAGGGTTCCCTATAATGAGTATTTTGTCACTGCTGATGGAAAAATTTTCAAAATAAATCTTACTACCGAAAGAAAAATTAATATAAGGTTTTTCTTTATATGCACATCTCTTGGTCTTATTCCTTATCACCATCAAAATCATCCTAAAGATAATAGTCATAATTAGGATTACACATTTTTGAGGTATAATCCTAGATAAAATGACCATTAATATGAGAGACATAGATTGGCTTAGCCTCTTTTATGAAACACTCAACCGGAGGGACTTTCTTGTGCTAAATATAGGCTGGTGTAATTGTCAAGATCCTGCTAAAGGTCTGGGCTAGCTCTTGAGATCCAAGCCTCTTGAAGACTAATTTAATAGTCCTATCTACCAATTTATACAGAAGAGGGGATCTTGTAGTATGAAAATCTTTTTGGTTATTATGGAACTCTTTTTCATAGTTGTTGATCCACTACATTGGCATCAACTGGGCAAGTTCCTCTTATGGTAGGTGTCTCGGTATCTAGATTGAAAATTCACCAAGTCTATCAGCAATTATATATATAAGGCATGCCAAATTGAGTTAGGGAAGTTAAGTTCAAGTGAATAATCTTGAAGTCTATAGATGATTTAGTGGTGAAAGGTGGCCATGGTGGTAGAGGGTTCTTGTTTAGCTCCAAAGATCTGGATTTGAACTTTTAGTTTGGTGGAGAGAGTGGGATCTATGAGTTTGATATTAAAATCAGGGGCTATGGTAAGAATCACACTCCCTTGGTTGAGGGTAGTCAATAGAGTTCCAATTAAGATATTACTGTATGACTTGTAAGTGGTGTCTAGCAAGGCTATCTTGGCTATGCATGAACACCTTTTATTCAATGAAGGGCCAAGATTAGGCGGATGGCCTGACATGGAGATGTGTATACCCTTCGCTAACCCAAGTGCTTATCAAAGGTTGGGCAATTTCAAGGGTAATATATTCTTCAACAGTTGTGGCTAGAAGATCATATTGGTCAAATTTAGAAATTTGTACAACTTTTGGCGGCGATCATTGGGTAGAAATAAGGGATCTGATATCCCTAGCAAAAGGAATTGGTTCTATGATATAGCTTGTGAGGATTGAGGAAAGGAAGATCTATATTTTGGATGCGGGCATTTTCTAGTAAGGTGGAGAACTCGATAAGGTTCTCTATTCTATTAGAAAGGGTTCTTCTTATAGAAGATGGAAGGCGATCAAAAGATAAGGCTGAAAAAAGGCGAACAGGTTTAGAGGAAGTAGCTAAGTTTTCCAGTGTTTCACACATGCTTTCTAGGTTCTCCTTACTCATTTTTCATCAATATATCTTATCTCTATGAAGAAGAGGTTTCTGTTGCATAGGTTTCTTATAGAGGCAAATGTAAAGTATACTTGAATCTTGATATGATAGAAGTAAGATATTACTGAATCAAACTTTCAGGAGGAAAGAGAGAGTTTATAAGAGAAGCATGGCAGAGAACACATTCAATTTATTTCTTCAAACAAAAATTTAAGTTCATTTAGTTGGTAAGGAGTTGGATAATAATTCATAAAATTGTGAGATCAAATCTCACTCTAATGTAAGGACATTATTAGTAGGTAATTTATAAGTACCTTTGTAAGCTCTTTCTTTGAGCCTGAAGGCATGCTCTAGCATTGATGAGCCACCAAAACCCAACTTACCTAAACTTTCACTACATTAAAAAAAAGAAAATCCAACCATACAAGAGCAAACAAAAGATTACCCTTCATTATTAATTCGTGATTTGCAAGAGGAAAGTGACGATGGCTTGCATCTTATCCGGTAGAGGAGAGCATAGAAGAGAAATCTTCGTCAGGGTGAGATCGCCAAAGGTGGCAGGAAAATGTTTAGAGAAAATGGCTCAGGTAAGCCAAAAAAAAAAAAAAACGTGTGTTTTTATTGATGTCTTTAGATGGAGCCGCAGAGACATGCAAGCTCATCTTTTATTAAACCTCACGCCAATAAAAACTTATATTGATTCCTGTAGTGTAGTTAAACATCTCATTTCCTTCTTCTGCCTTTCTTTTGTCGCACTCCTAATCGATATATATATATGTATATACATATATATATATATATATATATATATATTTATATTTTGTTTAGAATGTACTTTTCTAAAAATTCATTCATTTAATTTGCTTCTCACGATATTTGCCTTGAATATTAAACAAAATATATTTGAGGTTCTTGAAATGATATTCGAACAAACAGTTGGTGCTATATCCTTCATTTCAGTCCACTTCATCAGATTGACATTGAAGACCAATTTCATAAAAAAATTTGTTATGTAAATCATGGACACTTCGACAAAAAATTTGAATCAAATCATATAATACATTATAATAATAATTTAAATAAAAGATTAATTCAATTTGTAAGAATTTGACTCATAACTCATAAGGTCATGAGATTATATTCCATTATCGATGTGAAAATCTTATTGATAAATGATCTGTAAATATTTATGTAAACACTTTTTAAGCCTCAATATGTGCCCTGATTTTGATGGTTCCTGGGACCAAATCACCTAAACTTTCTATTATATCATAAAAAACTAATAATGTTTAAATTTTTAGTCCTTTTTATATAACTATATGTTAAATTTTACACCAATACACAATGACTTTGATTATAAATTTTTAGAATGAAGGCATACAATGGAAACACGACATTTAATTGTTTATGACTGTGGAATAAACTTTTAGGAAATAACCACTTTATTAATCTATCAGAGACTTTTGAATACGTCCCTCAACAACTGTACCGTCGTTTCGTCACAAAGCACGTGCTCGTTCATGACTCAGTCTCTAGAAGTTTAGCATTAATTGCCGTGGAATTGGTGGAAATATATCAAACATTCCATGTTGCCTGATGCGACATTTTTTTTTCTCTTTTTTATTGCCTTATGTAAAATTGTCTTCTTGTTGAAAGCAATCCCGTGGAGGACATATATAGTTAGACAATAAATATGAGAGCTTATAATAAAAATTCGAATCCTGATTCATCATATGTAAGAGATTATCATCTTTTTGCGAGTCTTAATTTTCGCTAGTGCCTAATATGATCTTCTATTTACAACATGCATGCAATTATTTGAAGATATGACTGCAAGAATTTTATTGGGTAAACTCTGGAAACTAACAGGTTAACTGTAATATTATCAACGGAATTTGGATCTGATCTTCGCCGTAGGTTAAGTCTGTTATTGATGACAAGTTAGGGTTACTTTAGATGCTGCTGACAGAAAATCTTTCACCTCGAGCCATGGCATTGAATTAGATGGTGTTGTATCTGTTGATTGGAAGTTCAAAATCGATCAATCGCGTTATTAACAACTAGAGATCCTGGATCGTTTATGTGGAATATGGCAAAGTGATGACATCGATCTCTGTCACAAGATGATCAACTTGACAGACACAAATATTTGTTTTGGTGAAATGACAGAAACTAATGTTATACATTACTGGAAGCGTATCCTTATACAAATCAACAACACATTACCTCACGGAACTCCTTCTGACAGACTAATTAATTAACAAAGCTTTCAGGATTCGGTCTAATATAATGGTATGGTACGGCCTCTCAAATAATGCTACATTGTTGAAATGAAAATGCTCACTTAATCACACGCATACTCTCTCTGATCCTATATGTATATTCATTTCTAACATATTTTATTAAAATTGAGAAAAAATGCTCAGTTATAATAATGTACTCCCTTCGTCCCAGCTTATGATGCATATTTTTGACAAAAATTACATATCAGTTAAGTTCATTATAAATGCAGTTTACAATCTTAACTTTTTTTAATAAACTTCCAAAAATGGTCTTCATTAATAAGAGAGAGGAAAGAAATTCTTTTTAAGGAGTGAAATAATGATGGGTAATATAGAAATAATCATCATTAATAAAACCTTATTTTTTTTAAAATATTTTGTATTTTGGGATACCAAGTTATCAATTTTAAAAATGTCGTATAAAATAAGATGAAATGAGTACTTCCTCTTACCAACATTTAATGAGGGGTAAATGAGAAAATTTGTAATAAAAAAAATCAATGAGACCACTTATAAATTGGAATTTTCTCTATCTCTATCTTCTAAATAAAACCTGAAGGAGAATGTATAATCTAGACCTAAAAAAAATTAAAAGAAAAAACTTTATCTAAATAGTCTTATAATTGAACATATATTATATTAGCCTTCGCTTAGTTGTGATCCTCATGAAGTTAGGCCATAAATAGACTTCTCATGGTGGTCCATTCTCACCATCTCCAGCAACCAAAACTCCATCTTCTTCATTCACACTGGAGAAAAACATATATCCAAACATGGTTATACCTAAAAAGGCCTCAATCATCCCACTAGTGCTGGCTTTGATCGTAGCCACGTCCTACGCCCGAAACTCACGGCGAGATTTTCTCAGGGCTCACAACAGGGCTCGAGACGATGTCGGGGTTGGTCCCATGAGATGGGACCCAGACTTAGCCAAATACGCACAAGACCACGGCAACAAGCTCAAGGTAAGTTGCAGGATAGTGCCGTCCGCTGGCCCTTACAGCGAGAACCTCGCACGGAACCGCGGCGACCTTACAGCATCCAGGGCGGTGAATATGTGGGTGTCGGAGAAGCCAAACTATGACTACGAGTCGAACTCTTGCAAGGGAGGACCGTGCCTGCAGTATACTCAGGTGGTTTGGAAGAAATCGATTTGGCTCGGATGTGCTAAGGTTCGGTGCGACAATGGACTAGGCACCATCATCATTTGCATCTATAACCCAAAAGGGAACATCAAAGGGAACGTCCTTATGATGTTTCAATTTCAAGTGCCCTCGAGCTTTGAGAATGATGATGGAATAAATATATGTTGCTATTGTGGATTAATGAAATAAATTTGAGGTCTCGAGTACCGAGTACGCACGTGGTGTGTTGTGGGTTATTATTTTCTGATCATGTGGTGATGACTGTGATTTAATTTGTGAGTTGTATGTGGTTTTTAAATTCCTATGTATGGTGCAAATGAAGGAGTAATTTCTGCTATATATATGCAGAAAATTGTGTAAAAGTTTACGGTTAACATACACATAGTTTTTTGTATGTTTGAAAATTTATCTGTCCTTGGCTCAGAAACGTGTCAATATACAAAATTACTTCATGTATGTCTTATTTATAAGAAGGAGTGGGAAATTTTTTTTTGTCCTAATTATAAGTCTTACTACTAAATTTTCATCACAAATTCTTATTTTATCCTCTATATTAAATATTAGTAAGAGAAAATAAATTAATGGAGTATGTATATTTAATTGCAGCAAAGTTAAGAAGTTATTAAAATTTTTAGATAGAGCAATTAACAATATTTAGGTTTTTTTATTGGCTCCAATGCAACTAAAATATATTAAAAGTGACTTATATATAAAATCAGAAAAATATATAAGACTATTTAATATTTTTATTTATTTCCTATGCCAAATGGTATTACTTTAGCTTTTAATATATAAGATGAAGTTAACAAACTTTGCATTTATTAAAAAATGTTTATTAAAATTGAAATTGTAAAACAAATTGTAATTTTCTAATTTTATCTTTTTTTTGGTAATTAATGATTGTAATAAATTATTATTCAGAAATTCAAATGACAATAGATATATAAGAGATAAAAATAAAAAAAAGCATTAATTATTCTAATTTTATCTTATATTTAATATTATTTTTTTAAAAAACTTTGTCTTATATTAAGGATCGAAAGGAGTACACAGCATAAGTTATGTTTAACAAAGTTTACATTTACCAAGAAATTGAGTTACTCCGTTGGTTTTTATATATATATATATATATAAATCAGTTTCAGTGTTATCATTAGAAATTAAGCAGACTTAAAACTCATTCACTATATCTGAAAAGGAAAAAAAAATTAATTTTGCCTTTATTTAAACCCATTTGATGTAATTTTGAAAAAAATACCAATATTAAATGAGGATAATTTGAAAAATATGTAATAAATAACATATGGTGCCTTAAACTAAAAAGAACAAAAATTTTCTCCTCCAACTATCTTATAAAATAATCGAAGAGAGTACAAGCTTAGTTAACTCGTTAAGTTTGTAAACAAAAAATTATTCGTATAATATTTTTTACCATCACCCATATTCGTACAACAAAATTTTCAAGGAGCCTAAGTTTTTTAAAAATCAAATCCGTAATTGAATTGGTAAAAGCAATAATTCGCAGTTCACTGATTTGACAGTGACTAAACTAGTTGCCAATAAATTGAGATTTTTTAAGTTAAAAAATATAAAATATTTTTAATTAAATTTTACTCTCAATAAAATAATTATCTACTTGTAAACTAACTCTACTTTTTTATATTTATTCTTATTAAATACCCTATAATAAATATAAATTCATTCATCAATAGGGGTACTTTTAAAAAAAAAGATAATGATTACATTTTAAAAGATTAAAAATACTTTATATTTTTTAACATTTAACTCCTTAAAAAATATTAAAAAATATCTTATATTTTTAAATGGAGGAGTACATTTTTTAAATAACTCCAAGAAAAAACACAGGTTATGGACAGAACTGTTGCAATGTCCGCGATGATTCAGATGAATACTGATTAAAGATGCAGGAGAGACAGCATAATTATATTATCAGCCGAGAGGAAGAATGGCATTAATTTTTTTTTTAAATCGTATGAGATAATATTTTAAATCTCATGCATTATTGAGATAATATAATTGTAAGTGTAAATACACACACAGATGGGATGGTCATTAAAAATATTTTTAAGACATTATTAATAAATTGTTAATTATAATAAGAAAGTTGCCGACAAGAGTTATGTTATTCAAATTTCTAAAAGATAGTTGTAAATATTTTTGAAGGAAATTCAGTGTCTCAAAACATAGATATTTTAATAAAAATAAAATTTTATTAATTATAATTATTTTAATATTACTTTCTTTCCTTATTACATTTTCTCTCTCTATTCAATATTTCACAAGATTATAGGAGTATTAAATAAAGAATATTTTAAAAATTCATCTTTGCATTCTAAAAATAATATTATCAATTAATTTTTTTCCATCAATTATAAAGTATATGTAATTAATCTTATTGATATTCATAATTTTATTAAAAAAAATGTCTTATATAAATTAGAACAATGAGAGGAGTAGTTAAGATAACCGGCATGGCAGTTTTCCACTTGTATTATGCCGTATATATAAACAAGACAAAGTTAACCAGGATGAGAGAGAGAGATCCGATATGGTCATGCACGCAGATTTGAAGTTTGAATACTGTGATAAGCTAATACTCCCTTCATTTTAAATTATAAAATATTTTTAGATAAAATTTTATATATTAATAAAGTTCATTAAGTACACTTTACAATCTCACTTTTGCAAGACAAACATATAAAATTTTAAAAATGTTCTTAATTTAATACTCCATTGATAAAAAATATTAATGAAAGAGAATATATGGGAAGGGTAATATTAAAAAACTATTATTAATGAAATCTTATTTTTATCAAAGTGTCTTATATTTTAGAACACTAAATTTTTCCTAAAAATATCTTATAATTTGAGACAGAATGAGTATATATTAAAGAAAAAAAACCTATATATTTAACTTTATATACTTAATGTACTTGTTTTTAATTAAATCAAAACATATGGATCATATACAGATTATTTATTTTATAATAAAATATTGTTATTAATTTTATTAAAATATTAAAATCTACTTGTCATGATTTGATTGGAAACAAATACATTAAATATATAAAGTTAAATATGTAAGTCTTACCTTATGTTAAATTAACTGAGCAACTCGAAAGGAGCAGGGAAATTATTTAATTGGTCGGATATAATTCATCACGCTTAGTTGCTTATATTACCATCATGCATGCATATATATATATATATATATATATTTACAGTAATGTTCGAATTGGTGGATTTAGATTTGAATTTTAAGTTTCAAATCTCACATTGAAAGTTAATGAATTTAAATCGTTTTAGATAGTTTAAAAAAATTCAAGTGGATAAGATAAATAAATTAAGATTTAAAATGAAAATAAAAAATATGAAGTAATGAGTTTACTTCTATTCTTCAATTGATAAGAGGAAAAAAAAACCAAATTTAGTCGGCTACATGGATTCTACAGTCACAAATGCCTCAACTATATGTTCAGGCACAGACGGTATGTGCATGCGTCAACTACATGTTCAGGTACGGATACTAATTTCAACAAAACAATAACAAGCTTTGTTTTATTAGATTTAGTCGATTACATGAATTGTATGATCGCGAATACTTCTAACACCCGAATTTACTGATGGACACAGAAAGTTCAACATGAACAGAAGGGGATTGCAAGTTGGAACGGATAGAAAGCACACATGTATTCTGGGATATCACAACTGACCACGGATAAAGGCATGAATAATGCAGAAACAAAAAAAATATTTTTTGGACAAAAGAAAAAAATATTTTAAAGGCTTAATAATGAACATAAAGTGATGAATACTCCGTAAAAGAGATCCTATATATGATTATTCTTCTTTTTTTTTTTTATTGACCTATACATGCTGATTCTAAAGGCATCTAATCACGTATTTGAATTATTTAAAATTCATGAAACATCTTATTGAAGGTCGAGAGCAAGATTATCAGATAGAGTTTCTAGAGCTGAATTATTTAAATTTTCTTGGTGATCTGTAATTTATAATTGGGGATTTTAGAATATAATATTTATTGCTAATTTTACTATGTATATTTTTAATTTATCCAGTTTTTGGTCAACGGATCAAAGTAGTTTAATTTCTACGCACACATACTAATATATAATTTAGCTAACCAGAATGCTTGTCAAGCAATGCACTGATGAGTTTTGATTCAGTAATATTATTATTGTTTGTTTCGAGAAGATTTGCATTCCACTTTTATGGTATAAAGTATATAACATTTGAATCCCACTTTTATTCAAGTGTACTAAATAGAGAAAATAAACATATTTACACGCATCTTCACTAAAAAGAAGGAACTAAATTATATATGTATGGCCCAAAAACAAAAGGGTGCTGAATTATATCTGTAAAAGTAGCCTTGCCTCTTAGCACGATGTAAATGCTTGTATGGCGTATTCATCAAGACACCAAAGGGTCAACTATATTTCACTATATTAAATTATATGTATTTATATAGAAATTTAAATAAATTAAGATATTATTCATTGATTATAAATAGCATGACTCTTCATTTTTTATATTGATATATTAATAATGTTAAGTGATATTGTTATCTTGAGGTAAAAAAAGAAAAAGAAAAAGTGATATTGTTCTCAGGCACAGATGAAATTAAAAAAATAGTGGTAAGCAACAATATAATTAATGGTACAAAATTATGAATGTACGAAATGCAATTGAAATTTGTGCACAAAATGTTTTCATGTTTACTGACAGGCATTAGTCCTAGTAGAATCAAGGAGCTATACTTGCTCCTGCAGCACGTTTTGAGTTCAAGTCCACACGTGCCAGCATATATAGACAACGTCTTTAAGAGAGGCCGAGAGCTATACTCCTAAATCTCAATTAAGCTTGACAATATTTCAATTTGATCCAGTCAAATCGATATATGAAGAAAAAAAATGTTTGAAAGAATATAATTTTTAATCCCTACACTTATGTTTTGTTATATATTTTTGTACGTTTTTTTAGTATTCTAAATCCCTACATTTTTATTTTTTAATATTCTAAATCTATAAAAAAAAAAAGTATAGGGATCTATAGTAAAATATAAATAAAGTGTAAGGATTTAAAATTATGTTTTTTCAAAATGTTTTCATGATTTAAATGGAAAGGGAAAACAACCAAAAGCTACGTTAGATTGCAACGAAACCAAACTTAGGTGGTTTGAATTTTGAAAACGGATTAATCTGATGACATTTCTAAGTTACCTACAGTTTAGATAACCAAAAGAGAGGTCTATGATATGAAATGCAGCCAAGTACGGAGTATCGTCAGTACCTTTTCCCTTTCTCAGTTGCTTCAAGTGGCTATAAAGCTAGCCCTCTACTTCAAGTGGCTATATATTTACACACACACACAACGCACATATCGTATTTGCATGAAATCCAAGATCAACGTGACTTTAATTCTACAGCTTTTATAGATATATTAACAATTAATATTAATTTTCATGCAACTTTGCCAATAAATAACCCTATACTAATCCACAAGAAGACCATCCTCGATCTCTAAAAATATCAATACCATACTACTTGACACAACATGAGATTCTCCAAAACTTCATTCTCTCTTGTTTGCCTCTCCGTTTTATTACATCTCTGTTTGTTTCCAATCTCCGAAGCCCAAAACTCACAACAAGACTACCTCAACGCTCACAACGTGGCTCGTGCAGAGGTCGGAGTGGCGAACATAATATGGGACGACACGGTGGCAACCTACGCCCTCAACTATGTCAACTCCAGGAAGAGTGACTGCAACCTGGTCCACTCCGGCGGACCTTACGGCGAGAACCTTGCGAAAGGAAGCGGTTCGTTCACCGGCACGGCAGCTGTGAACCTGTGGGTGGCGGAGAAGCGGTACTACAATCACACGTCAAACTCTTGCGTGGGAGGGCAACAGTGCCTGCATTATACTCAGGTGGTCTGGAAAAACTCGGTTCGTGTGGGATGTGCTAGGGTTCAGTGCACCAATGGCTGGTGGTTCGTTTCATGCAACTATGATCCTCCCGGCAATTATATTGGCCAACGTCCTTATTAATTTGTATATGTTCATCAGGAACGTAATAACCTTGATCCATGTTTTTAATTGTTCATAATAAGGCGGCATGATATATATATATATATATATATATAATATGATGCACCATACCATAATTGTTTAATTTGGAGTGGACTTAACATGAATATATCACGAGCATGCCGTTCTGTTACATTACGTGCCAAGATATTACATGCAAGTGTTCGTTGAGCGTTTAGAAGCCCAAAACTTATTTTCTAAAGCCCAAACCTACGTTTTCTCTGTACTGAAACCAAATAAGCCTATTTAGAAATTCAAGTTCTCTATGTTACACTATAAAGTATTCATTTTTATTTTTATTGTAAGACATTTTTAATCATTTCACCTATTTTAAAAAATATTAGTTTTTTCTTGATATAATAAAAAAATGATATGTACTTTATTGACTTTACATAATGATACAACTATATTAAATATTTTCATACTAATCAAGAAACGATAAAATTAAAAAATAAATAGTTTAATTATTAAAAAATATCCTACATTTTAAATCAAAAATTAATTATAAAATTTATCTTGCAAATAAGACAAGAGGAAAGTATAAACCACATCAAAGCAGATGCTAGGGAGAATTGCTTTTGATTTTCCAAAAAAAAAAAAAAAATCCGTTTGCAACATTGAAGTGAATGAAATTATATATCATAATTTTTGGGTTATTAATTTGGTCTTTTAAGTTTAATTTTGATTGATTTGATTTTTTAAATTTACCTCAATTATCAATTTGATCCTTATTGTTTAAAAAGAAAGTAACACTATTAAAATATGCTAACACAAATAATAGAATATTGATGGTAGTTATGTAGAACAATGAAAAGAAGTACAATTATTTAAGTAGAGAAAAAAAATAGATGAAAAGTATTTTACAAAACAAAAGAACAAAAGGTAACCTAACAAACCAGATATTGATAAAAACTAAACTAATTTAAGGGTTAATTAGTCTCATTTAACTACATATATATGTTAAGTCATTAACATACTATACTTTATTCATCAAATTAATTTGAGAGTCAATTTGTGTTTCCAAATTTAAAGGACTAATATGATCATTTAAGAAAAATATAAAGGTTTAAATTGGTAAAACTTAAATTTAAAGAACCGGATCAATAACTAAGACAAACTTGGGAGATTAAAAGTTTCATTATCTCTAATTTTTAATTAGTCATATAATATTATAGACAAATTATAGCTTTTAATTAGTTCTTAAATTTTTCTTGATTATCAATTTAATCCTTGAAATTAGATTAGTAACAACTCAGTGATCACTATAACTTTTTAACTCAAAATACGATTCAATTCTTATAATTTTTTGACTCAATATGAATCAATTCCTATAATTTTATAACTCAATAAACTATAAAAACTGAGTTATATTAAGTGTAAGTTTAAGAATATAATTGATAATTAAGAGCAACTTTAGGGACTAAAAATTATGTTATCCCAATATTATATCATAAAACTCATGTCTTTTTAATTAAATAGTAATACATATTTTTTTGATCAAAATCATCCAAATATTAATACCTTTTGGAAAAAATTAGCTCAGTAGCTTCAAAAAATACAACTCTTATAAATTATGGATGAGATTTTTGAATATTATAAAATATGGTCTATTCATAAAATCAATTAGATGTATTTTACTTTTTTTTTCCTTAAATTAAATTTATTATTAAAACATAATATATATATTGTAACTAATCCTTAATTGACTGAATATTTCTTTTGCTTTCTCTAAATCATTCCTTTTTTCTCTAAATATAAAATTGTCGGTGCCTTTTTTCATAGCAAAGCTTTTCTTCTCTCTTCCTCCTTGTTTTTCCCAGGAATACTATGAAGTAGACATTAGACATTGAAGAGGAATTTTTATTTCTAGAAGCAGAAGAGTAGGCCAAAATCTATTATCTATCATCAGATTTTTGCCATTTTCACATCTCTCAGTAACATTAAATTTTTTTGCAAATTGTGTTTGATTCATTTTGTGCAAATTATTATGTATTTTTTGTATTACTGATATGCAATACTATATTATTTATATATGTAAATATATCAATGATAAATAAGTTTATGTTTGATTGTCTAGTTATGTTGATCTGCGATAATATATTAGTGATATAGAGCAATATATCAATGAATTAGTGTCGCGAATTAGTAACACAAAAAACACATAATCACTTACCCAAAACGGATCAAACACAGTCTACAAAAATTTTTAGACTCTTAGTTTATCATAGAGAGTCAAGTACCTAAACAAATAAAATAAAAAATTATGAATCTATAGATCCATTTCCTTGCTGACATGCTCCATTCTGTTGATGTATCTCAGCTCACGTTTATCTCTCACAATCGTGACTGTGGCTCACTCACACCACTCTGCTGTCTCACATTTGTTTCTCGCATCCAATTCTTCTTCTCTCTCGCATTCATCTCTCTCGTTCTGGAAATTTTTTGCATTTTGAATCTTTTGGTATTTACAAAAAAACATATTAAAAGGGTAATTTTATAAATGAATTATAAACTAAATTTAAAAAGGTCATTTTTAAAATTTAAGAAAGAATAAGCTATTTCTTTTACTTAATCTTATGATATGGGCTATATGCACAAAAGTCCCTAACTTTTATTATAATCATTTTTTAGCAATGTTTTTAGAATAGGACTGCACATTGAACTTGAAAAATCAGTGATTCACAATTCACATTGGACCAATTGTCAAACTAGTAACATAATAATTGAATTAAAAAAATTATATATGTATAATAATAATCTAAATATAAGAAATAAATATTAAATTGCTACTTAATTTTAAAGAAATTAAATATTTTAAGTTTATAATAACTTAACAAGTCACATGATATAACATAATATCAAATGATTAAAAAAATTGATCATTTTTAAAAAAATTAACAAAATTTTTTTTTTGAATAGTTCGGTTCTTGAAAACCAGATTTGATTCCTGGTTTGACCACTGATCCAAAATGGCCCAACCCGGCTCAACCTACAAAACAGTTTTTATATATTAATCAAATTGAAATCTGAACTGATCGATGGTTGGACTAGTCTGACCATCCAACTCAGTTTTAAAATCACTATTTTTGAGTCAAGGCATTCAAATATAAATCATGTTATTGCAAAAATAATTATCCTCAGTAAAATTAGTTTACAAGATCAATCCTATACCCAAACCTCTGTTTTGTAATTAAATCAAATTCAAACTCACCTAACTATGCAATAAATAATAACACACACACTTTTGATGATTTCATGGCATAATTGTTGCATCAGCTGAAATGGTAACGTTAGTTTATTACTATATTGCATGAGCAAGAGTAGCTTAATTAAAATGTTAAAATTTCACTTAGACGTCACGATTAGCTAGGTTATTAATTAATTAATCAGCCAAAGCTACAAGACTTTTTTATTCTATCACAGTTGAAATGCTAACGTACGCGTAAATAAAGTTTAGTGTTAATTAAATTTTGTTATATTATCCCACAGATTTGATTTCATTGTGATAATTACAAACAATATTAGTTTAAGTCATTTACTTAGCCATTAATCAACCCATCTGGCTTATCTTTAATTTCAGTTTTGTTGGATGATGAGTTGATGAATGGATCAGCCAAATGTCTCTTTTTCCTATTAAAAAAGGGGGCAAAAAACAATCAATGCTATCACGAAAAAAAAAATAATAATAATAAAAAGAACCCCATCACTGCTTACTAATAACCTGAAATTTCAAGGTAGTTTCAAGATTTTGATTGAATTGGTCATAGATACTATAATACTTTTTTTGTTTTCGTCGTTTGTCCTATTATTAAAACTTTGATACCAGTTGACTTTTACGAAACCCTTATAATTTCTTATTCTATATTGAATAATATTAAGGACCCACATTATTTATAACTTATCATGCGATCACTTATAATATATATATATATATATATATATTTATTCGCTCTTGAGCAGGGATCATGCTAATCCTCTTTGTATAGTCCAAATTTATCAGATGGCCCCAAAGAGACTATATGTATATGATTGCATATCATAAAAGCTTTTCGCAAAGTTATGCAAATTCTTAAATATGATTAATACATGTTTATTCTTATATCCCGAGTTCTTAAAAAATTTTTATAAAACATTTATCCTGTATATGTATAATCATTCTTATGGTGAATCTAAAACGTATACATATGCAACATATTTTTTCTTTTAAAAAAGTCACTCATGTACCGAATAAACTACACTTACGGCTCAACAAACAGCTCCTAATTAATTATTCAAATTCATGCCTCCACCTTAATGCATGTTTACTTTCCATAGAAATGCCAAAAATGAATATTAATTAAAACTATCCATGAATCAGATTGATACAAGTGATGAGGTATCATGACAAGTTGACCAATTTTTTTTTTTTTTAAAAGAACAGATTGGCACTACACGTGCATCTCCAAAATACTGTGGGACATCCGTGTGTGTGTGTGTGTGAGTGAGTGAGTGACATAAAGTCAACATCCATTTGAGATCAATTACAAAAATCATCTGAAGCGTTGCGAGGACCCCACACTTATCCAATTGTATATCCTCTCCAACTCGAAGGAGGATTGAGTTTCCCCACTCATCCTTAGAGTAAGATTTAGATAATTTAAATTTAAAATATTATTATATTATTATCTATTATATTTATTAAAATAAAAATATTATAATTTTAATAATTTTTTATTTTTAATCTGATTTAGATTTAATTTAATATTAAATTTTTATAATTGAATTATATTAATTATTTAGATTTATTTTGCACAGTTTAAGACCATACAAAGTGTATCTGAATAATCAATATACATTAATTATAAAAATTTTAATATTAAATTAAACTCTCTAAATTAAATTTAGATTAGACTAAAAATAAAAAAATTATTAAAATTATTTTATAATTTTATTTTAATAAATATAATATATTATAATACATTAAATCTGGATCATCTAGATTAAAATTTGAATGGTCCAAATTTCATCTTAAGGATGAGC